CAGCCCCCTCCTTCAGCCGTCTCACCGACCCCAGCCGTCTCTTCAGCCGTCTCACAGCCCCCCTCCTTCAGCCGTCTCACAGCCCCCTCCTTCAGCCGTCTCACAGCTCCCCTCCTTCAGCCGTCTCACAGACCCCAGGGAAGGATAATCTACTTTCTTAAACTTTTACTTTTGACTTAACTAACCTAAGGGACGGGAGGCTGATTCCCTATCTACCTTGACTTCCTACCTTGAATCTCTACCATGATTCTCTACCTTCATTCTCTACCTTGATTGCCTATCGTGACTACCTATCTTGACTCCCTATCCTAACGTAACCAATGGACGACACAACAGCTCCTAGGAGACACACACACACACAACGCTACAACAACACTCTGTCCACCCTGGAAATGCTATCCCTCAGTGACCTTCACCACCAAGCACTAGCAAGGTTTGCCAGTGGACTGCTGCACCATCCTCGTCATCACCACCTCCTGCCACCGGCAGTCCCCCGCCCACCTCGCACAGTCCGCCACTACAACAAAATTCAGCCCATAAGAGCCCGCACTGATAGATATAAGAATAGCACCATCCCATCTATTGTTAAAATAATAAACAGCTCCTGATTTATGTACTGTACAGCCCTGTAAATGTATTGAACGTATATTATTATGTCTGAATCACATGTAAGTTTGTATATTTTCAGCAACTCTATTAATAAACCGTTTATTATTATTATTATTATTATTTATTACACACACACACACACATAATACTGGAAGCCACTCGAAATCGAGGATGGCCGGCCCAAGGGCCACTTAGGCGTGAATTTGTTTAAGGTGTAGAAGCTGTCGCCAACACAACAACCACACCCTAAGTTAACGAGTTGCATGACTCAGTGTCAAGGAATAGTCCGAGAAGACCGGACAACTCGCCAACTGCACTGGCTAACCATTACCCCGGAACACGATCCGCAAATCGATTAACATCCAGGTCCCCAACACACACACACACACACACAGAAAATAGAAATGTTTACTATGGCGACTAAAACATGCATGGTTATGTTATCCCAAATTACATATTCCAGTTTACAGTAATTTCACCCCCGACTCACCTATTTCAACAGTTTTATGGCTTATTATACAAGGCTTTATACAGATCAGTACCCGGCAAAAATGCACCCATTGAAGGACCGTTTTCTATAATGATCGTATGTTTATGTTGGTTTTCTTTAATAGAGATATGTGGCCGGGTCTCTCCCTCTCACACTCCGGTACACAGCTCGACCCAAATACTGACGACATTTAAATGGCACATCACCGTAAATAGATCACATTCTATTCACTAGCTATGGGATATTTATGACTTTAGATCGTGGATTAACCGGGATGTTCTAATTTTTTACATATCCGAAGTGGGTTCTATTGGTAGTGTGGGACAGCGTGGATATAAGACTATATATATTATATACGTAATTCTTCCAGTAGAGGAACAGTGCAGTCAACTGTAGTCACTTCCCCCATCTGCTAAGTTACCAACACAGCTGACTGAACCGGGAATGCCTGCACGGTTCGAACCAGTGAACCTTAAGATAGCGAGCGAGCACTGTATCCACTCAACCGCGTCCGCTCCCCCCCCTCCTCCTCTTAATCGCACACGCATTACCATAATACAATTTAGTCGACCAGATATTAATTGGCGACACATTCATTCAGATGAGTCAAGAATGTGAATGTAATTAAGACATTTAACATTTTCACATTGTTTAATTAAATGTTGGATAATGATGTTAGTCGTGTGTGTGTGTGTGTGTGTGTGTGTGTGTGTGTGTGTGTGTGTGTGTGTGTGTGTGAAATTGAAGTCTAAATGTGTGTGTGTGTGTGTGTGTGTGTGTGTGTGTGTGTGTGTGTGTGTGTGTGTGTGTGTGTGTGTGTGTGTGTGTGTGTGTGTGTGTGTGTGTGTGTGTGTGTGAGTGTGCGTGTGTGTGTGTGTGTGTGTGTGGAAGATGGTCAGACTTCCTGAGAAAGTTCTTAAAAGGATATTAAATTTTAATGGTCTTCTCACTGGAGTCGACTCATTGTTTACTATTGTTTATACACTCGCTCTGTTTACGTTGTTTACCATGATATATAAGACAATATTAATCACTGTTTTATTTACAAGATTACTATAGTTGAATCTTGGAGGAAAAACAAAATATTAAAATGAGAGTAGGTGAAGTGTTTGTTCAAGGACCCCTCTTACACTCACTGGTACTGACCTCCCAACCCACCTCACCCCACGTCCCCCCCACACCCCTCTTCCCCACCCCCACCTGACCCCCCTCACCCCCCATGACCACCAACATGGGTTAAAGTAGGCACTAACAATGACCATTAAATTTTAGCAGCTCTCCCCTGGACGGCTCGGGCTGTCCTCGTGAAATTTGGCAGAAACACAACATTATCCAATATAGTTTCCCAGAAATTCCTAACATGGAAGTGACATAAGAAACACTATATTTCTTGGCTTGTAGTAGGAGATGTGTTGAGTGTGAGGGGGGGCAGTTTTTCCTGGTAGTAACACAAGAGTAGTAACGTAGTAACACAACATTACACCATAACAACACACCACATCGCATCATATCACAACACAACACCATAACACCCTGACGCTTCTATGACGTCATTTTCAACAAAATTATAACAGTAGCATTCACTGTTAACTGTACAAGTTCTCTGTTAACGGTACAAAATCACTGTTAATGGTACAAACTCACTGTTAACGGTACAAACTCACTGTTAATGGTACAAACTCACTGTTAATGGTACAAAATCTGTTAACGGTACAAACTCTGTTAACGGTACAAACTCCCTGTTAACGGTACAAACTCACTGTTAACGATACAAACTCACTGTTAACTATACAAACTCACTGTTAATGGTACAAACTCCCTGTTAACGGTACAAACTCACTGTTACAAGTGATCGTTGGTAACAGAATAAAGAGCGTGTGTGACGATGAAGTAAACAGTTGTCGTCACTAACTACCAGTATGTTATTCCGGGTCATCGTCATCGTCATTATCATTATCCACCATCATCAACCTTCCTAGTGTCTATCCAATTATAAATAAATAGCACCTAAATAGCATCTGCATATACAGTTGAGGAAATAAATGCTATTGAACACACACACACACACACACACACACACACACACACACACACACACACACACACACACACACACACACACACACAGCACCAAACATTCAAACTTGACATAGCTATTACTGTTGCAAGCTATTAGAGCTCAGGAGAATATTGGAACACTTAGCTAGTTTGGCTAGTCTGAGGTGCTATTACGAGGGAAGGCTATTAAGACTGGGACCAATTAATAGAGACAGACAGACAGACAGACAGAGAGAGAGAGACAATCTACAATAATACAATCTACAATAATAATTACTTTAACCACCTCACTATTTTTCAGCATCCTAGCGGGTCGGCCAGTCGGTCTGTTCTCTGTTAGACACTGTTGGTAAGTACTGGATATGTCTGGGCTCTGTTAGACACTGTTGTTAAGTACTGGATATGTCTGGGCTCTGTTAGACACTGCTGGTAGGTACTGGGTATGTCTGGGCTCTGTTAGACACTGTTGGTAGGTACTGGGTATGTCTGGGCTCTGTTAGACACTGTTGGTAAGTACTCGGCATCATATCGCAGCTCTATAAGCCATTGACTCTAAGCTCTGTAAACCACGCCTCACACCTCTGTAAACCACGCCTCGTAGCTCTGTAAGACATCGTCTCTAAGCTCTGTAAACCACGCCTCGCATCTCTGTAAACCACGACTCGAAGCTCTGTAAACCACGCCTCGTAGCTCTCTAAACCACGCCTCGTAGCTCTGTAAGCCATCGACTCTGAATTCTGTAAAACAAGCCCCGTAGCTCTTATAAACCACGCCTCGTAGCTCTGTAAACCACGCCTCGTAGCTCTGTAAGCCACGGCTCGTAGCTCTGTAAACCACGCCTCGTAGCTCTGTAAGCCACGCCTCGTAGCTTTGTAAGCAATCGACTTGAAGCTCTGTAAACCACGCCTCGTAGCTCTCTAAGCCACGCCTCGTAGCTCTGTAAACCACACCTCGGCTCGTTCTCCTTTAGAGCCGCAGCTAAAATAAGAACTTCACTTTGCATATGAGGTCAGGTAAGCCCACAAGCAGTACTCCTTCATAAATATTACTCGCTGGAAGGTTAGGGGATAAGAACTGCATTTAACATATCGAGGACCCCAATGAAACGTACAAACACCTATGATATTGACGATAACTTACGATAATGTATGAAAACTTGATCACACGGACGAGATATTTACGAAAACTTACGAAAAACCGATAAAACTTATATGGAACTTATGAAAATTGATGAAAACTTGATAAAACTTACAAGATATTTACGAAAACTTACGAAACCTTACGATAACACTTGTATGAAATTTACAAAACCTAAAAAAATTAAATTAAGAAAACTCGATATCTTACACAAAATTTACGAAAACTTACGAAAAATTTGCGAAAACTGAAGAAAACTTACACAAAATTAAAAAAATGAAATTCCAAAAATTGTACAAAAACTCACTACAATTTACGATAACTTAAATGAACTTACATAAAATTAGGAAAACATTACGAAACCTTTAGAAAATATAATAAAACATTCAAATTCTTATCAACACATACAAAAAAAAAAATCGGAAAAAAAATCCCTTTACCAAAAATCACAAAACAGACAAAAACTCTCCGAGACCTCAGATCACGTACAATGAAACAAAACCAACACTTAACAATAAAACAATAAAAAAACAACACTTAACAATAAAACAATGAAACAAAACCAACACTTAACAATTCAATCAACCCAGAGTGAAAAAACTACAGTACTTCCACCATAAGAACAAAAAATCACTCTAGGATCCCTGTACCTTCACTACCATACATCATAACACACTGAAGAAGAATCTAGAGTACATTCACTCACCATAAGCTCCAGGATTTGCGGTGTTTCGTTGTCACATTCATGAGCCACGGCAGCCAGTTCGATGTTGTCACGGAAGATGGTGGCGTGTACGACCAGGGGGGGTGATGGCTCCAGGATATTAACAACCAACCTGTACACCTGCCCGGCTCTCACCAACTTCGGAGTCACCACCAAGTACGTCCTGTAAGGTAGATAATAAACACCTGTAGTACACTGTCAACATCTGTCAATATCTGTAGTACATTAATCAACATCTGTGGTATACTAATCAACATCTGTCAACATCTATAGTACACTATCAACATCTGTAGTACATTATAAACATCTGTAGTACATTATAAACATCTGTAGTACATTAATAAACATCTGTCAACAACTGTAGTACTTTAATAAACATCTGTCAACATTTGTAGTACATTAATAAACATCTCTCAACATCTGTAGTACATTAATAACATATGCAGTACATCAATAATCATCTATAGTACATTATAAACATCTGTAGTACACTATTAAACATCTGTAGTGCAGCAATGACATCTGTAGTACATCAATAACCTTAGTTGTGACATTGGAGAGTAATACAAACAGATGTCATTAAGAAAAGGAGTTAAACAGATGTCATAAAGAACAAGCGTTAAGCAGGTGTCATAGAAAACAGGTGTCATGAAGAACAGGTGTTATACTGATGTCATAAAGAACAGGCGTTAAGCAGGTGTCATGAAGAACAGGTGTTAAACAAATGTCATAAAGAACAGGTGTTAAACAGGTGCCATAAAGAACAGGTGTTAAACAGATGTCATAAAGAACAGATGTCAAACAGATGTACTACAAAAAAACATTGAAAGTTCACACAAATATAATCGCTAGACCCAAGTTTCACATCAGCATCGCAGAGTGAAAAGATTCGCCGGGCACTACTGAATGTTCGTGCTGGCGGAGGGGATGGAGGGAGGGGGGGACTTTTTAAACACAATATGGGGGGGGGGTATTTATTGAAGGCAGATGGTCGTAATAACAGGTAAAAAGGTCATTAGTTTATGTTAATTAAGGCCATGACTGGATACTAGCTAATGATGAGGCTGTTATTTTGTGTAATGATATAATTGGTGGAGCTTAATTGTTCATTTGGTGTATGGATGGTACATACATACATACATACATACATGCATACACACATATATACACACACACACACACATATATACATACATACATACATACATACATACATACATACATACAGCGGCCCCCCTTGGCCATGTCGGCCCATTCCCCAAGTCCCATCTCCGCGACCCATCCTCACCACCGGGATATAAACATAATCAAAAGTGACAATTTCGTTTCAGAAAAAAGTGGGACCACTGTTGAACAGTGATGAACAGTGTTTAAGCAAGTAAATTCAGCACGAGACAGTACCAGTGAGAGAAGTGACCCACCAGTGAGATAAGAACCAGGCGGTATTAATCCTCCACCGTGGGAACAACCGAGGGTCGGCTCTACACCTGACTACGAGATAACGCAACACCACCCATCAGAGAGTGAGGTACTGGGACACCACCCCACACCACCCGGTGTCCCCATGACCACGTGAGGTCCTTCATATCAACACTTATGGACGAGTTACTGAACCACGTGAACACCACACCATCTGATGTCTCCATCACCACGCGAGGTCCTTCATGTCAACATCTATGGACGAGTTACTACACCACGTGGTCTACATGACCTCACACAGTATGGCAAGAGACCAGCCCGGCCATCAACTGTAAACTATAATAATTTGTATGTTCAATTTATGTTCCTTCTCCTTTTAGTAATGAAAGCTTTTGTTAAACATAAGAACATAAGAAAATAAGGAGTCTGCAATAGGCCGGTTGGCCTGTGCATGGCAGCTCCTGTCGAGAGTTACATAAGAACATAAGACTGGAGGAAACTGCAGCGGGCCTATTGGCCCATACTGGGCAGTCCCATTTACACCCAACCCCTATTGCTCGTATAAGCATCCAACCTATGTTTGAAGCTATCCAGTGTATTCGAGTTAATGATGATATTTGGTAACTTGTTCCATTCATCCACTACTCTGTTTCCAAACCAGTGTTTACCAATTTCGTGCCTAAATCTAAATTAGTCAGCTAACCCCTCCCGTTTAGCGTCACACGAGAGCTAACCTTCAATTCTAAGTCTTCTCTCGATGTAAAGTGATTGACCTTCTTGTGTGTCTGTCTGTCTGGGTTAACCTTAAAAGTGTGTGTCTAGCGAGGTGTTGTTTGTTTGTTGTTGTTGTTGGTGGTGGTGATGTTGTTGTTGTTATTGTTGTTGTTCGTTTTTTCGTGTTTTTCTTCTTTTTTGTCGTTTTATTTTTTTTTCATTTCATTTTTTCCCATGCAAACTCGTAACAATAGTTTTAAATTAAACAAATTCAGATTTAGGCGCGAAATACGTAAACATTGGTTTGGAAATAGAGTAGTGGACGAGTGGAACAAGTTACCACACAACACCACACCACACCACACAACACCACACCACACAACACAACACCACACCACACAACACCACACAACACAACACCAGACCACACAACACCACACCACACGACACCACCGCCACACCACACCACACCACACAACACTACACCACACAACACCACACCACACCACACCACACAACACCACACCACGCCACGACACCACAACACAACACAACACCAGACCACACAACACCACACCACACCACGCCACACGACACCACACAACACAACACAACACCAGACCACACAACACCAGACCACACAACACCACACCACACCACGCCACACGACACCACACCACACGACACCACACAACACAACACCAGACCACACAACACCACACCACACAACACCACACCACACCACGCCACACGACACCACACCACACCCACACCACACAACACACTACACACCACACCACCACACAACACACTACACCACACCACGCCACACCACACCACACAACACAACACACTACACCACACCACACCACACACACACCACACAACACACACACCACACACACCACACACACACTACACCACACCACACCACACACACACCACACCACACACACACACACCACACCACAACACACACTACACCACACCACACCACACAACACCACACCACGCCACACAACACCACACAACACAACACAACACCAGACCACACCACACCACACCACACAGTGGCAAAAGTTCAACATTCTTCCCTCTTACTCCATCAATTTATCAGCCGCCAGAAGACCAGCAGCTCACCGCAACACAAAGCTGTGACACAACACTCTTCTCTTCCTCTGTGTTTGTGTGTGTGTGTGTCGCCCAGAACAACAACAACAACAACAACAGGAGCACCATTAGTAAATCATTATTTTCCTCCCCACACAGGAAGGCCCGTTGGTGTGAGCTGTGTTTGTTTACTCTCTCTCTCTCTCTCTCTCTCTCTCTCTCTCTCTCTCTCTCTCTCTCTCTCTCTCGGGGTTGTTACATCCACCTCTGGCTTCAAGATCAGACACACACACGGGTCTCTAACCTAACCTAACCAAACCACCTATATAGCATTAGGGTGTTCAATCATCAGGTTGAAATAAGTTAGATGGGGTGGGCTAATCTTTGTGATCTGAAACTATAATAAGTACACCGTTTGCCCACCAGATAGCCATCACCCCCCAGGCAGCAGGAGTAAGACCCCAACACTATGCGTCGACTTGCACCAAACTGTTATACATCAGGTGTAATTAAGTTAACACTGACGCTAACTCACGTTGTCTCTAAGTAAGGTGTACCGTGTGTGTGTGTGTGTGTGTGTGTGTGTGTGTGTGTGTGTGTGTGTGTGTGTGTGTTGTACAGGTGCTGTGTGTGTGGGGGAGGGGGGGCAAAAGAGAACCCACATCAGCTAAGAAAATTCTGCCCAGGAAATCATAATATAAAGTAAATCCAAACGACCTATGAGTCAATACCATCTAATACCATTCCTGTACATTAATATAAGAGTGAATAACATTATGAATAAAAATAGCCTGAATAAGCATCACAAATAAAAATAAAAATAAAAAACATACTTATTTTCAGCCACAAATGAATATAAACTTTCACTAACTCGTACAACAACTTTAGGTCTCAAAAGGCTGACAAAAACCACAAAATATAAAAATATTCTAATGAAAAAATGTGAAAATGTGTAAAAAAAAAATTGAAAGAAACATTCAGGTGATTTAAAATGTATTCATGTGTGTGTAACTTTCTGAGGGCGGTGTCTAGGTCAAGCCATCAAACACGCGACATACAGTCTCCTTCACTAGTGCGTTTACAGGGGCTCGTCAGGTTTTGTACAGTGTGGCAGTCCTGTGTTTGTTGACATTCGACAGAAGGAAACTCACAATAGTAAACATGTTATGGAATCAAATTAAAACAAATATTTCAATGTAATAATTTGTGGAATGTTTATATGACGAGCCCCTGTAAACACACAAGTGAAGGGGGCTGTACCTAGGCTATGTGACGAGCCCCTGTAAACGCACTAGTGAAGGGGACTGTACCTAGGCTATATGACGAGCCCCTGTAAATGCACTAGTGAAGGGGACTGTACCTAGGGTATTTGATGAGCCCTGTAAACGCACTGTGAAGGGGACTGTACCTAGGCTATATGACGAGCCTGTGACGCACTAGTGAGGGGACTGTACCTAGGCTATATGACGGAAGGCCTGTAAACGCACAAGTGAAGGGACTGTGCCTAGGCCTATGACGAGCCTGCAAACGCACTAGTGAAGGGGACTGTACCTAGGCTATATGACGAGCCCCTGTAAACGCACAAGTGAAGGGGACTGTACCTAGGCTATATGATGAGTGCCTGTAGATGCACTAGTGAAGGGGACTGTACCTAGGGTATATGACGAGCCCCTGTAAACGCACTAGTGAAGGGGACTGTACTTTCCAATAATTAGTTACAGCTTGTTATCCCGATTGGAAAGCCTGGGACGGTAGTTAGGATTGAGTGATTGAGGGAAGAGTGTGGTGGAGGGGAGAGTGATGGAAGATGATGATTGGATGAGGCATAACGAGGAGAGGTTAGGTTAGGTTTAGTTAACATTAAGTGGTTAATCTTCAGGTGAAATAAGCTGGGGAGTGTAATTTTCAGGTGATATAACCTGACCTGACCTGACCTGACCTAACCTCAAAGTATCGTTAGGATGTCTACTCATCAGGTGATTCAGTTAATTAGCTAATAAAATCAACATAATTCTCTAACTAATGATATTAATTACTGACTTTAATTACTGACCTTAATTACTGACCTTTCTAATTACGTTTAACACACAAGGTAATGTTTTACAGGTTAATTACTAATTGTAATAGCCAGTACCAGGTCATCAACAAACAAACACACAGATAAAAGACGAAAACACAGCGAATAAACAAACACAGACATAAAGAACACAAACACACAAACAAACAAACAAACACACACACAGGTAGTTACTTCCGGCTGGTTCTAATAACGTCAAATTAGTGTCACCTGTCTCTCGAACCTCCGTGCTAGAGGGTCATTTGTGTCTCTGGTTTTTATCTGTCTGTCTGTCTGTCTGTCTGTCTGTCTGTTTTCTTTTTGCGGGTAACTATGATATCCAGCTGATGTGTACGGTACATGCTCGTACACACACACATGTACATTAACACACATACACACACACATACGTACACACGCAAATGCATGGACACAAATAGAGAGAGAATTTAAATACGTATAAACAGAGAGAGAAGCGTTGTGTAATTTCAAGCTTCAACACGGACATATTCACGCCTCATTTGCATATGCTGGCTTCACTACGGACCACGGACACAGGAAGGCTTCACTACGGACCACGGACACAGGAAGGCTTCACTACGGACACGGACGACAGGAAGGCTTCACTACGGACCACGGACGACAGGAAGGCCTCACCTACGGACCACGGGCGACAGGAAGGCCTCACTACGGACCACGGACGACAGGAAGGCTTCACCCCGGACCACGGACAGAAAGGCTTCACTACGGACCACGGACGACAGGAAGAACTTACGGACACAGGACCACGGACGACAGGAAGGCCTCACTACGGACCACGGACGACAGGAAGGTTCTACGGACCACGGACGACACGGATTGGTGGGTCACTTTGTGTTTCATCCCAGCAGTGACCGGACTGGCCATCATGCTAATGGATGTGAGAGACTTACTCCATAAGCCTGAACAATATAAGCCTTACTCATATTCACTACACCAAACAGTAACACACACACACACACACACACACACACACACACACACACACACGTAGATGGTGTACAATTAGGACAACTTAAGTTTAATTATCTGAGCCTTAAGAGAGACGGATGTGGTGGTGTGGCAATACTCACCCGAAGGTTAGGTTAGGATTAGGGTTAGGTTAGGTCCTTGTGTGTGTGTGTGTGTGTGTGTGTGTGTGTGTGTGTGTGAGGTGCCCGTCATCACCGTGGGAAGGCGGCAGGGGGTGGGGTAGGAGAAGATGAAGTGCCTGAACTCACGAAAACAACAAAAGAATAACAAGAGAGAGATACCGTGGTAACCTGACACTACACCAATTGTGTCAGTAAAGACTAATTCTGTTTTTGTGGTGACCATCAAAACGACCTCAAATGCCCCACCTCATCCTACCCCGCTCCACCCCACGTTGCCCTGCCCCATGCTGCCCCGCTCCACCCCACGTTGCCCCTCCCCATGCTGCCCCGCTCCACCCAGCCTTGCCCCGCCCCATGCTGCCCCGCTCCACCCAGCCTTGCCCCGCCCTGTTACCCAGAATGCTATAGCTACAGCTGCTGCCAAAATTTGGAACATTAAGCTTTGCCTACAATAAGTTCACTGAAGCTTTAAGGAAGCATTTGACTGTTTCACTTAAGCTGTAAGACGACGCTTTATTATCTCACTTAAGCTGTGGGAAGGCATCTATCTGACTCTCTTAAGCTGGGAGGAAACACCGGTCTCATTTAAGCTGTGTGACGACGCTTTATTATCTCACTTAAGCTGTATGAAGGCATCAATCTGATTCACTTAAGCTGGTAGGAAGTACCGGTCTCATTTAAGCTGTAAGACGACGCTTTATTGTCTCACTTAAGCTGTACGGATGTGTTGAATTGGTTCACTTAAGCCGTATGAAGTAATCTACCTTCCCCACTTAACTACAAAAGAGTTTACAAGTACACTTAAGTACTTCTTCACACACCCTACACTGCAGACTGTCTCAAGCAACTTAAACAGATGTGGGATAATATTCTATACCTGACTGTACACCTGTGACTCTACACTTGTTATTATACACCTGTTACTGTATATCTGTTACTGTACACCTGTCATTGTACATGTGTTACTGTACACCTGTTCCTGTACACCTGTTACTGTACACCTGTTCCTGTACACCTGTTCCTGTACACCTATTCCTGTACACCTGTTACTGTACACCTGTTCCTGTACACCTGTCACTGTACACTGTGGCAAAGACTCTTCACTGAGACAAACGCCCATATTATTAAACAACATCTTCCCTCTCTGACGAACAGTTTTCTTTGATGTCTTTTTATTCCCGTTTTCTTTAATGTCTAGTATCTCCGTTTTCTTTAATACCTTGTATCTCCGTTTTCCTTCATGTCTTGAAGGCGTGTACTATAATTCACTTATTTTTGTTGTGTAAGTTCATAAAGGAAATGACTCTAACTCCTTATGTGCCCTATAATTCTCTTGTTTGTATGTACAGTGGTGAAGGACGGTGTTGTGAGGTTAGGTTAGGTTGGGTTGGGTTGGGTTGGGTTGGGTTGGGTTGGGTTGGGTTATTGAGTTTCTTGTGTATGTAGTTAACTGTTGTACATATATTGAAACATTTCCCTACATGTTATCGCCGCTGTCTTCAGATACACAGTGCTGGCATTTGCTGACCTTCAGTACCTCCACTCAGCACCGAGTGCTTCCCAGCGCCTCAACCGATGTGTCTACGAGTGTCACCTTACCCAAACAAACCTAAATCTCTGACCACGTACACCTTTACCTCCCTTGTAGACTGTAGAGGTGTTGTGTCTCGCAGATGTTTGTAAACGTCACAACCATAGAACAAGCATTTCGGAGTGTTACCGCCTGCGATAACCGTGTGGACAGTGTTGATAAATTGTTAGAAATAGTTTAGTTATTGAAGATGTAGGAGAAAGGAGAGGAAAGAGCTGAGGGGATGTCTACAGCTGAGCGGTCCTGGTTTCTGCTGAATAGACAGTCCTGCAGGTGGCGTGACTGTCTGGCCTCACTGATGACAGTTCACCCTCTACAGCCATACTGTGAGCAACTCACAATCCTGTCCCTGAGTTTTGTGCTGAGACAATTTACGCAGTACTGTTGTCACTTGCAACACCATACTGATTTACATCGACCCGCACTTGTAAGTACAGTCTACGTGAAATATTGTACTGAAATATTGTGGACTAATTATGCCTACTCGTTTCTGCCTTATCTGGAGCACCAAGACAATGCGGAATGAAGCACAACTAAGATTAATAGAGTTATGTACTTTGTATTATGTCACTATGTTTAATGATCTTATGTAGTTAAGATAAAATTGTGTGAGACTAACAAATGGATTACCATGTAGTACTGATGAACGCCTTGTTCTCTGCAGGTTTTGTCCATATCAATAAATATTGAGTGTGTCAAACGGCGGGTTTCAATCAATCCTTTCGAACTGTCCTTAACTAAGGCGGCTACACTACATATGTTTACATTATCAGCTAATAACAATGGTCCCCTCTTGCTTGTAAATGGCCGGTCCAAGGGCCACCCAGGCATGAATTTGTTTAAGCTGTAGAAGCTGTCGCCAACACAACAACCACACCCTGAGTTAACGAGCTGCATGACCCAGTGTTTAAGGTGTAGAAGCTGTCGCCAACACAACAACCACACCCTGAATTAACGAGCTGCATGACCCAGTGTTTAAGGTGTAGAAGCTGTCACCAACATAACAACCACACCCTGAGTTAACGACCTGCATGACCCAGTGTTTAAGGTGTAGAAGCTGTCACCAACATAACAACCACACCCTGAGTTAACGACCTGCATGACCCAGTGTTTAAGGTGTAGAAGCTGTCACCAACACAAAAAACACACCCTGAGTTAACGAGCTGTATAACCCACGAATATAGAATAACCCCCAGAAGACCGGACACCTGGCCAACTGCACTGGCTCATAAGTAACCCGTTATCTATTTATGTCCAGATTTTCATTTATTCCTGGACAGACAAAAGTAAATACACTCTGAGAAAAAACAAATATTTGCTTATAATTTCATTTACTCTGGGGATCGAACCCGGGACCACAAGGATTCTTAATCGGTATATCATCCCCCCTCTCTCTCTCTCTGCTCCAGCCTCCTCTCCCTCTCCTATCTTTCTTACCTCTCTCTCTCTCTCTCTCTCTCTCTCTCTCTCTGTCTGTCTCTCTCTCTAGGCAGATAAGAACCAATGTAACAAACAAACAAACACACAGTACAAGGCACTTCTCTTACCTCTCACCTAGAGGCAGACAGGTAGGTGTGTGTGTGTGTGTGTGTGTGTGTGTGTGTGTCGGCGAGGACGGTGTAAGACGAGCCCTTTGACGCCACGCCTTATCCCTGGGGCAGTAGTGTGTGTTGTGTGTACTCTAGTGGGTGTCGTGTGTACTCGAGAGGGTGTTGTGTGTACTCTAGTGGGTATCAAGTACTCTAGTGGGTGTTGTGTGTACTCGAAGGGGTGTTGTGTGTACTCTAGTGGGTGTTGTGTGTACTCGAGGGGGTGTTGTGTGTACTCGAGGGGGTGTTGTGTGTACTCTAAGGGGTGTTGTGTGTACTCTAGTGGGTGTCCTGACTACCAAGCAGGTCCCTCAGCATCCAGAGCTGACCCACCTCAGCTATCCTCCAGGGCCTGATGTATAAAGCAGGAGGACCTCCGCTTACCAGCCGTCTCCACTCTCTCCAGGAGAATATATGGGAAAAGGAGGAAATCCCCCAAGCTCATAAAGACGCCTCCATTGTCAATATTTATAAGAACAAGGGAGACCGGTCAGATTGTGACAACTACCGTGGGATCTCGCTGCTGCCCGTATCTGGCAAGATTATTGCCCGAGTCCTCCTAAACAGACTTCTTCCTGAGGCGGAAAACTTCCTCCCAGAATTTCAATGTGGCTTTAGAGCATCACATGGCACCACTGACATGATCTTTGCTGCCCGCCAGATACAAGAAAAGAGACCTGTACATGGCTTTCATCGAGCAAACCAAGGCCTTCGACTCGGTCAACAAGGAAGTCCTCTGGAGGACCCTCAGCCGTTTTGGCTGCCCACCAAAATTCATTGCCATTGTGAGGCAACTCCACGTTGGCATGAACGGCAGTGTCCTGCACACTAGCATCCAGTCTGAGTTCTTCCCCATCCAAACGGGGTGAAACAAGGGTGTGTACTGGCACCAACTTTCTTTTCCATTTTCTTGGCTGCCTTTCTTACTCGTGCCAGTGCCAATTTAGCCGGCGGGGTGGACATCGAGTACCGGATGAAGGGGCTTTTCAACATAAGATGACTCCACCCTTGTCATTCACACTGAACGTGAATGTACGAGGTGAATGTATGAAAGACTCAGATTCTCCTTCAACCTGGCCCTGGTTCAGCCAAACTTCCATCATCCATCCAGCTTAATGGTACTACCCTCTCTAATGTTACCCACTTTCGGTATCTCGGATCCCATTCGACTACCACTGCAAACCTCGATGAAGAGATTCAGCACCGGATCAGATGTGCATCTCAAGCCTTTGGCAGACTCCGTACCCGTCTCTTCAGCTGTAAGGAGCTGAAATTATCTACAAAGTTGCACGTATTTGAGCAGTGGTCCTCCCCACCCTGCTATATGGCAGCGAGACATGGGTCACATACAGGAGGCACCTGAAGGCACTTGAAAACTTTCACCAACGTAGTCAACGTTCCATCCTCCAAGGACGCTGGGAAGACAAGAAAAGAAATGCCAGTATTCTTGCTGACACGAACTGTACGAGCATCGAGGCTACCATTATCCGTGAACAACTACCCTGGACTGGCCATGTTACCCACATGGACGACAGTAGACTGCCAAAGCAGCTACTTTACAGTCACCTAACGAATAGTAAATGTAATGCTGGCGGGCAACTGAAAAGGTATAAGGATAGTCTTAAGACAAACCTGAAAAAGTGCCAAATTGACCCTCTCACCTGGGAGACGATTACTCCACACTGTAACGCATCGAGGAGCACCACACGAAAAGGTGTCAATACTTTCGAGTTAGCCCGACTGCATACCGAGGCAGACAAGTGCCAACGCCGGAAAGACGCTGCCGACGCCCCTCCCGCAATAGATGTAGCCCTCCACATGTGCAACATCTTGTAAACGACTCTACCAGTCCCGAATCGGCCTCTTTAGTCATTTCAAAACTCACCAACCTAAGTGACATCCCTAATAACCCATATTATTGTATCATAGCTGGATGATCGTCATACTCGATTCCGAGTGACAGCAAAGTAGTAATAGTAATAGTAGTAGTAGTAGTAGTAGTAGTAGTAGTAGTAGTAGTAGTAGTAGTAGTAATTTAACACAGATAGGAGAGCTACTTATGTATTAGGATATTTAATATTAAGGTAATTAAATGGTGGCGAAGGTGTGGCTATTGGGGAAGGCTGGAGGCCATTTAATAAAAGTAGTAGTAGTAGTAAAAAAAAAAAAAAAATAGTAGTAGTAGTAGTAGTAGTAGTAGTAGGGTGTTGTGTCCATGTCTACATTATGTCTACGTATAGAGCGCCCTGACTGAGTGGCTCGGCTGGGATAATTTATACAAAACCATCACGAAAAAAGTTTAAATGTTAGACAAGTGACTAAAACTTTCCAGGGAAATTGTCTTGGTAGTAATTAGCGAACTTTTGTTGAGAGTTTCTATACACACACACACACACGACATACAAACACACACACGAGACACACACACACACACACACAATCATGCTCGGCGCAGACTACTCCGGCTACAACAACGCTCTCTCCACCCTGGAAATGCCATCCCTCAGTGACCTCCACCACCAAGCACTAGCAGGGTTTGGTAATGGACTACTGCACCATTTTCGTCATCGCCACTTCCTGCCACCGGCAGTCCCCCGCCCACCTCGAGCAGTCCGCCACTACAACAAAATTCAGCCCATAAGAGCCCGCACCGATAGATATAAGAACAGCACCATCCCATCTATTGTTAAAATAATAAACAACTCCTGATTTATGTACTGTACAGCCCTGTAAATGTATTCAACGCATATTATATCATTATGTCTAAATCACATGTAAGTTTATTATTACAGTATTATTATTTTACAAACACACACACAAACGTAAAGCCAATACTCCAATAGCCAATCAACGCTGCGATTACATATAATTAGTATTCGGAACACAGCAGGTAAACACACCATCCAACCAATCAAGGCAGAGCTTACACACCGGCCAGATGAGGATGTATATGCCATTACCCAATCAAAATCGCGCTTATATGCAATAACATCCGGCCATGACTCGGGCCAAATACTCCATCAACCAATGAGAAGCGACCTTACAAGCATTGATGGATGCGTGGACCAATAGGCAGGAAGTATACACACGAGCGGGGTATCGGGTCAACAAAATGCACTTAGTTGTCGGTACCAACTGAGAGAGAGAGAGTATATTCTCCCTTAGTTTACATATATACAACGTTATTCTCCCTCGATTTAATGCGTCCTTGCTTATTTTTTCTTTATAAATACCGTCACTCTCTCTCTCTCTCTCTCTCTCTCTCACCTACCTCGCTCTCACTCATTCCCTCCCCTCCCCTCCCCGCCTTCTTTCCCTCCCCCCCTCTCAACCCCCTTCCCCCCTCCCTCCACAGGTGACCCAGAGGCAGGTAAACCCGAGATAAATTTTAATGAACCCTGGGCTCACCTTGGGCTCCTCTACACCACCACCTGGGCTCACCTTGGGCTCCTCTACACCACCCCCTGGCTCACCTTGGGCTCCTCACACCACCACCTGGCTCACCTTGGGCTCCTCTACACCCACCACCTGGGCTCACCTTGGGCTCCTCTACACCACCACCTGGGCTCACCTTGGGCTCCTCCTACACCACCACCTTGCTGACGCTTTTGTCAACTATTTTCGACTCACTATTTTTACTAGCAGTTCATTACGACCGAGAGAGAGAGAGAGAGAGAGAGAGAGCACCAACCAGCCAGAACGACAGACAGACAGACATGAATATACTCCCTTAAAATTTTACTAATGTAAAATACCATTTATTTCCTCCCTTGTATTTCCTCGTCGTTAAACCAGAAGTGATACTCTCCCTGTACACCCACCCACGTTAATCTCCCTTAGCACCCTCCCACGTACACCCACCCACGCTAATCTCCCTTAACACCCTCCCACGTATACACCTCCCTACGCTAATCTCCCTGGACACCCTTTTCTCTCCCTGTTAACGAGGCCAGGGAGGGAGGGAAGCGTCTACACGTCTTCTCACCAGCTAAAACCTTCATCACATTTACATAACTCTGGAAAAATAAAAGATAGGGCCAGGAGGAGGAGGAGGAGGAGGAGGGAGGCGAGGAAGGCGTTAATAAGAACACACAGAGCGCTGCCGCCAGTCCCAACTTCTACCTCTACGCTGGTGAAGCACTCTCTAGATGGAAGCACTCTAGATGAAGCACTCCTAGATGAAGCACTCTAGATGAAGCACTCTAGATGAAACACTCTAGATGAAGCACTCTAGATGAAACACTCTAGATGAAACACTCTAGATGAAGGACTCTAGATGAAACACTCTAGATGAAGCACTCTAGATGAAACACTCTAGATGAAGCACTCTAGATGAAACACTCTAGATGAAGCACTCTAGATGAAACACTCTAGATGAAGGACTCTAGATGAAACACTCTAGATGAAACACTCTAGATGAAGCACTCTAGATGAAACACTCTAGATGAAACACTCTAGATGAAGGACTCTAGATGAAGCACTCTAGATGAAGCACTCTCTCTTTTCCACCCCCTTAGTAACACTTACAAGTCATCACCCGAACAGGAGTTTTAATTAACAGCATTTAGACGTAATGTTTGTGTTTACACTTAAGTGAGTTTGTTTACTTAATGCACTTATCTCTAATGCACTTACCTGAATTGTTAAGTAGTTGTTGTTTATAGTTTCAAGTGTATTATGTCACTTATCTATTAACACTTTAGAGGTGTTCTGCTGTTTTTTCACTTTTTTACTTTTTATAGTTTTAAATCGTTACTTATACCACTTATAACACTTATATACTTTGAATAAATCTCAATACTTTTCTAACTTTCACCCCCTCACGTTTCCAAAGTATTAAGTAATTACAACTACTACTTATAAACCTACTTGGAAGAAAGGAATATTTCATGTTCACTTATATACTTTTTTACCGCTAATAAAATTTTCATCTCTCTCTCACTCTCTCTCTCTCTCACTCTCTCTCTCTTCTCCTTCCCCACTCTTCCCTCTCTTCTACCCTTCTCCCACTCACCCCTCTCTCCCTCCCTCCTCCCCCCGGCACTTTGTCTACCTCGCCGCCTGTAGGTCTTAATGCTAAGACATTCCTCATCAGAAACCTTTGATTTATGGTTTCCAGTCCTCCTTCTGCCTCCTGCCTCCTCTTCCTTCCTTCCTTATCCCCGCTACTTCTTCCTCTTCCTTCCTCTTCCTTCCTTCCTTATCCCCGCTACTTCTTCCTCTTCCTTCCTCTTCCTTCCTTCCTTATCCCCGCTACTTCTTCCTCTTCCTTCCACCTCCTATCACCACCACTACCACTACTACCGCCATCCTCATTCATCCACCAACTCAATCATTCATCCATCCATCCACACATCCACACACCCATCCATCCATCCACTCACTCACCCACCCACCCGCCCACCGCATTACACCCACCCGCCCACTACACTACGCACCCGCCCACCACACTACACCACCGCCGCATTACACCCACCCGCCCACCGCATTACACCCACCCGCCCACCACACTACACCCACCTTCCCACATCAACACCGAACAAGCATTAACACCCAACACTGATCGACCTACACTGTGAATTATCAATGAGGAAATATAATGTTTCGAAATATATCCCGTTTTGTGTGTCGATGCAATACCACGTAATACTCAGATTCTATCATGCAACATCCTGCTATAATTACTACTACAACTACACAATGCAGGTGTATATATATATATATACTTTGTGCAATCAACGCCCCCTTGCAGTATTCAGTGGCTTGCATGTGAAACTGGTTACAGGTGTTGCATAGGTAATTCAGGTATAGTATTGTGGATATTGTACAGTACTTGGTTTGTGTTTTGTTAGATTCGTTTTTTTACGAACTTTGATCTTATTGAGAGTTAAATTATCCTCTTTGTTGGTCTGTTTGTATAGAGTGTCATTTTGTTGGTCTTAATTATAGATGGAGAGGTGTAATTGTTGAAGGGTTGTGTAACGTAAATGAACTGTATGTAATCAGTAGCTCTTTTTTGTGTAATCCTCTCATCACTTTCTTCTCATCCCCTTCCCTCCCCTCCACTCCCTTTCTTCCCCTCCCCTCCCCTCCACTCCCTTTCTTCCCCTCTCCTCCCCTTCCCCTACCGCGTTACACCATTAACTCGAGAGCTTAAGGGCATGTAAATAAAGAATTCTTCCTACCCTGTTGGCGGCCGGGAAACACCCCCGGCTTCCTCCACCCACGAGAGGCCGTAAGGGGAGGTACTGCGGCCTCCTCCTCCCACTAGAGGCCAAGAAGGAATAAACTACGCCCTCCTCCGCCCACTAGAGGCCAAGACGGAATAAACTACGCCCTCCTCCACCCACTAGAGGCCAAGAAGGAATAAACTACGCCCTCCTCCACCCACTAGAGGCCAAGAAGGAATAAACTACGCCCTCCTCCACCCACTAGAGGCCAAGAAGGAATAAACTACGCCCTCCGCCACCCACTAGAGGCCAAGAAGGAGTAAACTACGCCCTCCTCCACCCACTAGAGGCCAAGAAGGAATAAACTACGCCCTCCTCCGCTCATTCAGGGAAGTAAACCAATGTAACTTTGAACTCTATGTCAGCCAGTCCCTAAACGTTTTTACACCTACATTAACGTGGAAAAAATCAAAACCTTTAAGCCTCAAGAAATCCAGACTGAGGCCAGCTTTGAGACTGAGGCCAGCTTTGAGACTGAGGCCAGCTTTGAGACTGAGGCCAGCTTTGAGACTGAGGCCAGCTTTGAGACTGAGGCCAGCTTTGAGACTGAGGCCAGCTTTGGGACTGGGGCCAGCTTTGAGACTAGAGGCCAGCTTTTGAGACTGGGGCCTTTGAGACTGGGGCCAGCTTTGAGACTGAGGCCAGCTTTGAGACTGAGGCCAGCTTTGAGACTGAGGCCAGCTTTGAGACTGAGGCCAGCTTTGAGACTGAGGCCAGCTTTGAGACTGAGGCCAGCTTTGAGACTGAGGTCAACTTTGAGACTCGAGGCTATTGTCAAGTGAGGGAAGTTTAGGAAGCTAAGTTGAGAGCCTTTAAAGAGTACTAGTGAGACTCTCTGAAGAAACTTGTAAAGTGAAAAAAAGGCTTATGTCTTCTTGTCTTCTTTGACCTTTATGCCTATAGACTAAAAGGTTCATTTTTATCTGGTGAGTTGTGGTTGAGTGGAGGTAGTTGTTGTGGTGGTAGGTGGGATGGTGGTAGTTGGTGTGGTTGTAGTTGTGATGGTGGTAGTCGTGATGGTGGTAGTTGTTGTATGGTGGTAGTTGTTATATGGTGGTAGTTGTGATGGTGGTAGTTGTGATGGTGGTAGTTGTTGTATGGTGGTAGTTGTTATATGGTGGTAGTTGTGATGGTGGTAGTTGTTGTGATGTAGTAAGTGGGATGGTGGTAGTTGTGATGGTGGGTCATGATGTATGGTCGTTGTGATGGTGATAGGTTGTTATATGCAGTAGCTGTACGCAGACAGATACAGTCATGACTTAAAGATTTGACAGTCGTATTTCCATATTGCCCAGACTATGCCATGTTCTGCCCTGATCCTGACTTTTTGACTGTTCCATTTTTGATGTAAGACTTGTTATATGTTATTTTTGTTCACTGCTGTTTGACTTTTTTGTTCTGTCTGTTTTTGACTTTTGTTCTGCCCCACACCTGATGTTACAAGATTTGCTGCTGTTCTGTGACTGCTGTGTTTGATTCCAAGATTGTGTAGCCTGTGATAGTTTAGTTAAGACGGTAGTAGCCTGTATTATGTTATCATCTTGTGCTGTCAAGATCAGCAGAAACCACCCAAGCTGTCCTCACAACATACAAACCCTTTATAAACCCCACTGACGAGAGAATCAGAAGAGTCAAGAAGCATATTAAGATTAGAGACGGTGGGGGGATAACTCCAAGTGATTTATTATGGAGGGGATGGAGGGTGGATGGAGGGTGGATGGAGGGTGGATGAGAGGGGTGGATGGGAGGGGTGGATGGGAGGGTGGATGGGAGGGTGGATGGGAGGGTGGATGGGAGGGTGGATGGGAGGGTGATGGAGGGTGATGATAAGTGGATGGGAAGGATGAGGAGGTATTTTGAGAGGTGGATGGAGGGTGGATGAGAATAGAGGGTGGATGGGAGGACGGGAAGAGGTGGATGGAAGAGATATTATCCGTAGGTAACCCCTTCCTCCTCCAGAACACATACAAACAAACAGAACCTGACCTGACCTAACCTGACCTGACCTAACCTGACCTGACCTGACCTGACTAGACCTTAACCTAACCCAACCCTACCTAACCTAACCCACAAGAGAGGTTGGTGGTAGAGTCAAGTTCTGGGAGAAGTTCACACTGGGACACGCTACAGGTACTTGATGGTCCGGTTGTGGTGGTTAGGCCTGTTGCTGGCGTGGCTGCACAGATGGCATGAGTGTGACGAGTTGTATGACTTGTGACGGTTGTGGTGGGAGTGTGATGCTGTGAGAGTGACACTATGACGCTGGGGTGGAGGTGACGGTTGTGGTGGTTGTGATGGGCTGTGGTGGAGGACGGGTTGTGACGGGCTGGTGGAGTGTGACGGGCTGTGGAGTGTGATGGGTTGGGTGGGAGGTGATGATCACGGGCTGTGGTGGAGGTGGCAGGATGTAACGTGCTGGGAATGGGTTGTAAGAGAAGGAGTTTGACTGGGGTTGTGACGAGTTGTGACGGGTTGTGTGGAGTGTGACGGGTTGTGGTGGAGGTGATGGGTTGTAGGGCTAGACGGGCTGTGTGAGTGTGACAAGTTGCAAGGGCTGTGGTGGAGTGTGACGGGCTGTAGGAGGTGACGGGTTGTGGTGGAGTGATGACATGTCACCGGCTGTAGTGAGTGTGGAGGGCTGTAACGTGCTGAATGGGTGGATGGGTTATGACGGGGTTTGACGGGGGTTGTGACGAGTTGTGACGGGTCATGGGATCGAGGCAGTGTGATCAGAGACTAAAACGCGGGAGTCAGATTGTTCCCAGAATCGATCTCAGGTAAATTACAGGTATATGTTCTTCCCACCTGACCTCTACTCTCTCTCCTCCCTCCCTTCTTACCTTCTGTCCTCTCTCCTTTACTCCTCTCTCCCTCCTTCCTTCCGCCTCTCCCTTCCTCCATAAGCATCTTCTGCCTTTACATACAGACCAATAATAGTACACACACACACACACACACACACACACACACACACACACACACACACACACACACACACACACACACACACACCCACACACCACACACACACACCCACACCCACACACACGAGGGGAGTGAGTGGTCAGGGTCTTAGAAAACCATCTGGCGGCCTAAATAAAATCTAGTCTGTCCAGCTGTCTTGTACTGAAGGAGGAGGAGAAAGGAGAGAAGGAGGCATCCTCCTCCCTCACCAGGTTCCTCCTCAAGGGGGTGACAGTATAAACTATCAATTACAAGATTATGCCTGGCGTTTCATCGTCACCACAACATTGCACTGACGTCCACCCATTGTCCCTCCCCCTCACCCCATCTCTCACCTCAGCCATTTTATCCCCCCACTCTCTCTCCTCACAAACACCATATCCCCTCACTCCCCTTCCCTCACAACACAACATCTCCCTCACTCTCTCCTCACACTATATCTCCTCACTCTCTCCCATCACAACACAATATCTCCCTCACTCCCCCCTCACAACACCATCTCCCCACCCCCTCCCCTCACAGCACATATCTCCCCACTCCCTCCCTCACAACACAACATCTCCCCTCACAACACTATATCCCCTCACCTCCCCTCACAACACTATCTCCCTCACTCCCTCCCTCAACACTATATCTCCCCTCACTCTCTCCCCTCACAACACTATATCTCCCCCACCCTCCTCACAACACAACATCTCCCCAACACAAACATCTCCTCTCACTCCCCCCTCACACACACAATACCCTCTCACAACACTATATCTCCCTACCCTCCCCCACACCATCTCCCTCACTCTCCCTCACAACACTACATCTCCCCACCTCCCTCAACCCACATCTCCCTCACTCCCTCCCCCTCACAACACAACATCTCCCCCCCACTCCCTCCCCCCCAACACAACATCTCCCTCACTCCCTTCCCTCACAACACACATCTCCTCACCTCTCCTCACAACACTATTCCCCTCACTCTCCCATCACAACACAACATTCTCCCCTCACTCCCTCACAACACTATATCTCCTCACCCTCCCCTCACAGCACTATATCTCCCACTCTCCCCACAAACACAACATCTCCCTCACAACACATACTCTCACTCTCCCTCACACATATTCTACCTCCCCTCAACACTATATCTCCCCCACTCTCTCCCCTCACAACACTATATCTCCCCCACCCCTCACAACACACATTCCCCACACACACATCCTCTCACCCTCACAACACAACATCTCCTCACCCCCCTCAACACTATATATCTCCCTCACTCTCCCTCACAACACCTCACATCTCCCTCAAACACACATCTCCCTCACCCCTTCCCTCACAACACATATCTCCCCTCACCCTCCCCCCTCACAACACACATCTCCCCTCACTCTTCCCCACACACACATCTCACCCCTCCCTCCCACAACACCATCTCCCCTCACAACACACTCTCACCTTCCCTCACAACACACATCTCCCCTCACTCCCTCCTCACACACTATATCTCCCCCTACTCCCTCCCCTGACAACACAATATCTCCCTCCTCCCTCCCCTCACAACACAACATCTCCCCTCACTCCCTCCTCCACAACACTATCTCCCCTCACAACACAATATCTCCCCTCACTCCCTTCCTCCACAACACAATATCTCCCCTCCTCCCTCCCCTCACAACACTATCTCCCCTCACAACACAATATCTCCCCTCCCTCCCTCCCCTCACAACACATATCCCCCTCCCTCCCTCCCCTCACAACACTATCTCCCCTACAACACTATATCTCCCTCACTCCCCTTCCCTCTCACACAACATCTCCCCTCACTCCCTTCCCTCACAACACAATATCTTCCCCTCACAACACTATATCTCCCCTCACTCCCTCCCCTCACAACACTATATCTTCCCTCACAACACTATATCTTCCCTCACAACCTATATCTCCCCTCACTCTCTTCCCTCACAACACAACATCTCCCCTCCTCCCTTCCTCCACACTATATTCCCCTCTCCCTCCCCTCACAACACTATCTTCCCTCACAACACTATATCTCCCCTCACTCTCTTCCCTCACAACACAATATCTCCCCTCACTCCCTTCCTCACAACATATATCTCCCCTCACAACACTATCTCCCCTCCTCCCTTCCCTCAACACAACATCTCCCCTCACAACACTATATCTCCCTCTCCCTCACTAGTATAACCAATCGTCTATGTTTCCCTCTTTTCCCTGGTCCCAAATTCTGCCGTGTCCCTACTTTCTTGTATATTGCAATCTGTCTTTGTCATCTCTATTTCTATGGTAATATTTCCCTCTTTTTTTTATCTTTCCCTCTCTCTGTGTTCCTCTTATGACTTCCCCCTCTCTCATTTATTCTCTCTCTCTCTCTCTCTCTCTCTCTCTCTCTCTCTCTCTCTCTCCCTCAGTCAAAAAACACCCATGTTTCTTTCCCTCTGATAATGTTCCTTTCTTGTCTTTCCCCTCACTCGCCCTCTCTCTTTTCCCCTCCCACACCACTTTCTCTCTCTCTTTTCCCCCTCTCTCTCTCTTTCCTCTCTCTCTCTCCCTTTCTCCTCACCCCTCACTTTCCCTCACCTCTCCCCTCCTCCCCTCACCCCTCCCCACCTCCCCTTCTTTATCACAGTACTTCACTAGGCCAGGGGCGGGCTGGTACCTGCTGCTGTATGGTGGACGACTACAGGTATGGACCCACAGAATGGCGGCTCCTGATTGGTTGGCGGAATTAGATAGGATGACGATATATAACAAGACTGGGGTCTACCAGGACTGGGGTCTACCAGGACTGGGGTCTACCAGGACT